TAGCAGTAAAAGTGCCTGAAGAGAAGAAGGGAATGTCATAATTGAGAATATTTACAATCTTTAAGGAAGTTACCGGTAATGCAAAAATAGACAAGGAATTACATGACATCACATATTTTCCCAGTTATTTAAATGATTATCTTATTTTATGAGGGATTTGTCTAAAATCCCTACAGTCCCTACATCTGTATTTACTTTAAGAATATTCATTTCAGGGATCATTTTCAATGAATAAAAAAATAACTGTGTTACTCAATCCTTTATGTATAAGTGTTTCATACCTGTTGTCTCTGGTCCAGTCGGGTCGAATAAAAGTGAAGAAGAGGCATGAGTGGTGCTCTGTGCACAGCCTCTGACAGTGCTCAACAGAAGGAGAGTAAAGGAAGGTTATGTCTGACCCTGGAAAATCAATGTTCTCCAGAAGTCCATCCCTGTATGCTAAAGGAAAAAGTTAGAGAGAAGAAAAGTGTAAGATTACCTTCTTAGATGTTACAAAAAGCAAACATATTAAGCAAACAAAACATTTCCATGTAAATCCTAAAACATAGAGTGTTATAGTGAATTACCTTTAATGAAGGAGAAGCTGCTGGCTATTAGCAGGCCAACCAGAATAGAATACTTTTCCATCTTTTACTGCAGATACCTTCAGAGCTCTCTCAGCTTTTAAAAGAACCAGTTCAGCAAATATAAAGCAGTCAAAGGGCGGTTTGTTTACACAGTCTGATTGTATCACGTCTAAATATTTCTGTCATGTGGCCAGCTGTCTCTATATATATCTGGCTGCGTGTGTATATATGTATTGTGGAAAAGCATTTTGTTATGAATCACAAATATTTAATAATGGCTAGACATCAGGGAGTCTCCCGGAACATCCGGGAGACTCCCTGGATGTTCCGGGAGACTTCCTTGTTCACTGATGCCCTTGAGTCAGATAAAATATCCCGGATTTTAGACAATGTGAGGTGGTGTTTTTTTAATGCCAGTGAGGGCGTTCAGGCAGTACAATAATTTATATATCATGTGCGGATAAGAACTACTTCGATTGCGCAGGAACCACAAGAGAGAGCGGGGTGTGAGGGGGAGGTTGCTGGTAAAACCCGTGCAGAAAAAAAAATACAAAAATATAGGACTAGTTTTACAGCAGAATATACTAAAGTATAGCCACGTCTAGTGAAGGTAAGGAACAGTGGCGGATCTAGACCAAATCTACCAGGGGGCCAGAAGGGGGCCAGCATGTTTTCATGGGGGCACAGGAAAGCATGAAATAAATGATCAGCACTGTATGCTGAAGTCCCATTAAAAAACAGAGAGCACAACCAATGTTCAAGGCTACAAGATTGAAAGTAGTGAAAATAAAAGACCAATACTGTTCTGTTTTGGGTTTAAGAAATTACTGTAAGTTAATAAACAGTTTATGAGCAGTTGCTGGCGATAAGTGTGTATGTATGGGGCAGGGTGCGGGTCCGTAGTACCTGGGGGGGTTAAGCATCTCCCTGAAATTAGTTTTTNGATCTAGACCAAATCTACCAGGGGGCCAGAAGGGGGCCAGCATGTTTTCATGGGGGCACAGGAAAGCATGAAATAAATGATCAGCACTGTATGCTGAAGTCCCATTAAAAAACAGAGAGCACAACCAATGTTCAAGGCTACAAGATTGAAAGTAGTGAAAATAAAAGACCAATACTGTTCTGTTTTGGGTTTAAGAAATTACTGTAAGTTAATAAACAGTTTATGAGCAGTTGCTGGCGATAAGTGTGTATGTATGGGGCAGGGTGCGGGTCCGTAGTACCTGGGGGGGTTAAGCATCTCCCTGAAATTAGTTTTTGTCTGCATTAGTTTTTGTCTGCATGGCTTTGCAGTGCCTGGACTGGCATGGCTATCATTATATGCAGTACTCATGATGAGGGGGGGTGGCATCCCCCTTCTTAAAAAAATCATCCCCCCTTCCCATCCCCTGTGACATTTTATTACTGAATGTGTAAAATTTCTACTATAGATTAACAGTAATGGCAATAATATTGCCCTTTCAACATTTGGCGGCCTGTGGGCTTACGAGTAGCCTGAGCAAGATAAATAAAATCCCACCACGACTATGAAGCTGATCCCAGTGGGAAATTTGTCCACTGCATTTGTCCCTAACTATGTAGGGGCAGTGACAGCCATGCCAGTCCAGGTACTGACTGCAGTTCTACTGTAAAGCGCCTTGGTCAAGGTCAATGACTGGTGTACCTGACATGTAACAACCATACCATGCATAGTGCTCTAGGTTAACAGGATATATTAATCAGACTATGCATGCTTCAAAAAAAGAAAAAAATCCATTATCCCCCTTTTTTTTTTTTTTTTTTTTTTTTTTTACAACTAGACTACTGATTATTTGAAGCTTTTAAATGTAAAATAGTTTGTAGAACTCTGTGAACATTAAGACCTTTACTAGTGTGAGGGATAGCTTTAGACTTGAAAGTGATTGTCTATATATAGTCAGATACTGTTGTTTGCAGCTGCAGATCAAAATGAACAACATAACACCCTCTGGCTCGAGGATTCTTGCAATGATAAAGGAAGGGGTAAGAGGGGAGGATGGTTGGTCAAGGTGTTTGTGAACTCTGAATCTTTAAAAAAAGGAGGTAGCTTAGAATGCTTTAGACTGCTTCTAAACATTTTGAGGGAAGGGAAGCGCCAGGTTTAGGCATTGCAAATTCAAAACCTCGCAGCTCAACCTGAGAAGGCTCCAGACTACTGGGTTCCACAAAACTCATTAACCTCAACAAAGTGTTAAGGTGAGCAAACAATCTTCTACCTCAAAAGATCTGCCTGTGGTGTAACTACCAACGTCACTCTGTTTACTTTCCATGATTCAATATATCTAAGCAGACATCCAAAGTTCCAAAAACTCATTTTAGTGAGATGCTTAACCCCCCCACAACCACGAAGACACCAGCCTTGATTCTGTACAATCACTCGCGTCAAAGTAGCTTGGGGGCCATACACACACACTTAAGGCCAGCAATTTCGCAACAACTATTTATTAACTAAGAGTAATTTCTTAAACACAACACAGAACAGTATTGGTCTTTTATTTTCAATTCTTTCAATCTTGTAGCCTTGAACATTGGTTGTGCTTTCTGTTTTTTAATTGGACTTCAGCAAACAGTGCACCTCGCCACGGTGTCATCATTCCTCACCATGGCCGGTTCTAGACAGGAGCCAACGGGGGCCAGAAATTCTAATGATGATATGCACTGGAACAGACATGGTCCTTTGGAACTACTTTATTCTTTTTCTTTACAAATTCTGTTTTACTAATTATTCTAAAACAATAAGGTGATAGCTTCAGTGGTATTGAGATAG